CAGCAATCTGACCCTGGACAAGAAAGACACTTAACCTCTCTCTCCTTCAGCCTTCTCGTGGGGGAAACAGGGAAATTAGTACTTGATGCAAACTTGCATGACTGTTGTGAAACCGAGGACCCTCAGACCTGGGGCCACGGAGCAGAGCTCCCTGGCTGTGGCTTCCTTTCAGCAACGATCCTTGACCTCACCATTGGATGACAGGAAGGAATCCAGAAGGTATCAAAATGTAAAGACAATGCCCACAGTTAAGTCATTAGAGACCTAGGAACTCCTCAGTATCCAAAGCTTTCCCAGGCACACACTTGTAAGTCTGGTCCTGGGACACAGATGATGATGCTAGCAGTCTTTCATAATCCATATTCCTCAACTGCAGCCTAGCCAAGCCTGCACCTCACTGCAGTGCAGGGGCATTGCTTTTTACAGCTTCCTTCTAAGCCAGAGTCATCTCCCCAAGGCTTCCACGCAAGGGTCTCATTGACACTCTCTGGACTAGTCAGGACCACCTAGTGCTTGACGGTCATCTGGCATCAACTGTACAAGCCATATGCCCTGCACGACTATTCTCTGTTATAACTGAGCCTTGACCATGCTCAGTTCCCTTCCCATCCTTTCTAAGCTCCTCACTGGTCCATGATTACCAGACCTAAATGGCACAACCAATTTTTTCAGTATGTGTAATCTTCTTCAACAAATTAAACTCAGCTGAAGATCCAGAACACCACAGGTATTTTCAGGAAGTGCTGGTGACAGAAAAGAAGGGTAATCACATGGTCATATGAACACGGGATGGAACAGGTATTAAGGGGAGAGGATGGTGGCTTATACTGTGCCACCTGTGAACATGTGTGTTAAAAGAAATGACATAGAATGGGAGAGGGTACATCCGCTGTTTCAACATTGCCTGACCCTCCTCTGAGCCTTCACAGGGCAGGGTAGAGGATTGAAGGGGTGGACAAGCACTACATAACTTCCACATCTTATGACTCTTTTGATGCTCAGAGTTAATTAAAAGCCTGAGAAGCGGCTCACTCTCCCAAAATCCATTGATAATCACTAGATATGATTCAAATTACCATATTGGAGCCCTAAATACTTACATAAACTTTTAAAGTGACAGTCTCCGCTCCTATACCTTACTTACTGTGTTCACTTGATTCATCTTACTATTAAATTTTAGATTAGCACACAAGCAACAGGTTTCAACACAGCATCTGCACACATGCATGTCAGTATTAAAACCAGAACAACTGTTCTGCTAAGTTGGTAAGGTATCTTCTTTCTGCCAGGAGGCAAAGACTGCATTAATGCGCATGTCCAAGAAGGTGCGCCGGGGAGCGGGAGTGGCTATTTCTGTTGTACTGAGGCCCTTGCTGGGCACCATGTCTGAAGCTGAAGCAACATAAATACTAACAGGATCTTTCAGCCCAACAAAATCACAGAGGGAAACATCTCAGGAAGCCTGAGGAGCAGCTCTTGCCACACGACTGGGGATGGCACCTAGGGCCATGCAGGGAATTCTGGGGCTCCATTAATGAATGGTACACCCCTTAGCTCTCTGCCCTTAGCTCTCTGAAGCTTCTGGTCTATGACACATGTGAAAGACAGAAGACTATGGGCTGCTTTCTTTCTTCGGGGTTGTGTAAGATGCCCCATGGAGCAGATGTGTGTGGAACTAGCAGCTCCATGACTCAGGTGTTTGGCTACCAGTACACTTACACTGAGGACAGGGCAGAGGAGATGAGGAGGCTGGTGAGACACTCCCTTGACTACTGGCTACCATGGCTGCTCTGCACCTATCCTTCCTCTAGGGAAGGCCATAGCATCTGCAAGAGACACTCCCTCCTCTCCAGGTCCCTTCTCATGTCTCTGAGAAGATCTCTAGTGAGCAGCCTAAGCACACTACCAGCTTTCGTTTGACTGTCATTGTTTATTACCATCATGAGGTGGAAGACAGAGAGCCACCCACTCATTAGCTGGCAGACCCCTTCTACAGTGCAGTTCCTTACTCAGCTGACCCACAGTGCAGTTCCTTACTCAGCTGACCCACAGCCCCACCCTTTGGCCCGCTCTTGACTACAGCACTACACTAACTCATATATAAAAATATAGTGGAATGCAGAAAACAGAGACTTTTAGTATTTTCATTCCTCAGAATGTCAGTGTCAAATTAGTCTATATCTGAAATGCAGTTAAAATGCTTGATTTTAAGGACTTCCGCTGGAGCTGCTAACTTGACTTTCACTAAGAATAAAATCATTAAATGCATTTTGGCTTGGGACAGAATTTCCAACAATCCCTGAAGTGGCCCTACATATATATACTTCGCTGCTTTGTAGTATGTATTTATGAAAAGTGACATTCCCAGCCCTGATGATTATAAAATCAAAATATTGATCAAGTCTGAAAAATGTTGAAGATACTCTACGCATGTAGTCTCCAACTGCCTGCCAAGATTTAATTCTTTATGCAAAAATAAGGAAGCATCCATCTCACTGGCATGCAGATATACTTTTGCCTCCTAAAGATGATTTGTGTGTGCGCGCGCACGTGTGTGTGTGTGTGTGTGTGTGTGTGTGTGTGTGTGTGTGTAGCTGGTATTGCACGTGGTTGTTGATCAATTACCATGGGTCCCAGGAACTGAACTCTGGTCCTCTGGAAGAGCAGCAAGTGCTCTTAGCCACTAGGTCATCTCCCCAGCTACTCTTTCCTCTTTAACAAATGGTAAAAATTATACATATGCAAGAAAATCATTTAAATACATTAATAACCTATTTATAGATCTGAATACCTATTTTATCTCTCTCTCTTTTTTCAGGTGGAAATGGATCCGGAAGAGGTTAAGAAGCCCCGTGCTGTGTGCCACTGTCTGTATTTCAGATAAAAGAGGAGGCCATGAGCAGAAGACAGCCTGAGAAAACCAGTTTTCAGTGCTTCAGGACTCAATTGTTAATAGAAAACACATTTTTGTTTTTAAATTTTAAAGGAATTTATTTATTTAATTTATTTTATGTGCATTGGTGTTTTGCCTGTATATATGTCTATGTGAGGGTGTCACAAGGGCCTGGACTGGAGTTATAGACAGTTGTGAGCTGCCTCGAGGGTGCTGGGAACTAAACCCAGGTCCTCTGGATGAGCAGCCAGTGCTTTTAACCACTAAGCCATCTTACCAGCTCCCAGAAACACAGTCTCACAACCAGACAGGATTGTCAACAGGAAGAAATCTGCACAACTGGCTTGAACTCTGAGGACAACATGCCCGTTAGACTTGTCTCAGCTGTTACTTAGGGAGTGAAGCGTCCTGAGGACCCTGACTCGGGCTTCAATGGTAGGATAACAGCAACCAATCTGATTTTAGAAATGTCCACTGTGTGACAGACACATCCTTTTGCAGCTTCTGGGATAGCCCCAGCTCCTGCCTATAGGTGAGATATGTTCTTTTAGCTGGGTTGCCTTGTCTGGCCTCAGTGGGAGAGGATAGGCCTAGCTTTGCAGAGACTTGAAGTGCCAGAGTTGGAGGATACCCAGTGGGTCCCCCACCTACTCAGAGAAGGGGAGGGGGGATGGGAAAAGAATTGTGGGAGGGGGTGACCACAAAGAGAAAGTGAGTGAGATGTAAAGTGAATAAGTAAAAAATAAAATTAAATTAAAAATAAAAATTTTAAACTTCTGATTAGAAACTGTCAGTGAACTGAGAGGTAGGGGTCTCAACAGACCCATCCGAGACTTCTGAACATGTACAGCCCCGTCATCCATTCTCACTGGAGGGAGACACTGCAATCATTTTCTGATCTATGTGCTTCTGTGGTACCTGTATACCCGCATGCTCATGTGGAAGACACAGGACAACCCTGGTTACTATTCTTTAGGCACTGTACACTATTTTTATTTGTTGGTTTTGGAAACAAAATCTCTCACAGAGGGCTGGGAACTTGGTAAAGGAGACTAGACTGGCCAGCCAGTAAGCTGCAGGGATCTGCTTGCCTGCACCTAGCTGCTAGGATTACAAATACACATCATCAATGTTTGGCTGCTGTAGGAGTGATCTGGGGGCTCCAACTCAGGTCTCTCTGCTTGGAAGGCAAGTACTATAGAGCTATCTCCCAAAGCTGCTGTCTTTGTGTCTTAGGACCGATCCATCCTGTGTGACGACACAGTACAGCATAGAGCCCACCAGATGACTCAGAAAGTTCAGAAAGCCAACAAATGTCACTTTCCACATTCCTTCCAACTTCCCATTAGCTGCATGTGCTCCTTCTGGCTTGATCGTATAGTGTTTATGCACAGATCATGTGTGGGCAACTGAATGCATGCAAGCATGTGACCATCAGTTGTGCTATGACATGAAGAACAAATATCAATTAAAAACACGTGACATGCCCTAGACACTCATCTGTTATATGACACGCACTCATAAGGGGAAATCTTGCTTGGGTCCCCAGGCTGGAGGCTGAAATGGGTGGGACAGCCTGTTGAGCCACACAGGTCCTTCTTGCTTGTTTTGTGCTGTGAGCTCACAAAACCACTTTCCCTAATAGGAGTAGCATCGTGTAATCCACAGTTGTGAACATTCTAACTGGGAGAATATTCAGGAAAAACCTTGGTAGATGGAAAGAGAAAGGTTCTGAGTGACAGGGCTAAAAAACCTTTGCTCAAGCCAGAATTCTGCTATAGTCTATCTCGCCAACAAAACTTGGTGTTAATACAACAGCATTTTAAAAGTTTGGTTCTCTTTTGAATATTTCTGTAGTTTAGTTACATTTGGATCTTTCACTTTTCATGTGTGTGCATGCATGTGTGTGTGTATGCATGCATGTGTGTGTGTGTGTGTGCAGGCGTACACCTATGTCCACATGCATATGTGGAATAAAAACATCTACATTCGCTTGCAGGAGCCATTTCAGAAAGCCCACATCTGGCCCCCAGGTAGACAGTGGATGTCACAAGCAAGGGCATTTTCCACAGTGCAGATACTCACTCTGGGAGCCCAGGACCCTTACCTTCAGCAGTGCCCGAGATCCCGTCAGCCTTGAAGTTGCTGGTACTTTTCTTCCTCCGGTGCTTCTTTCTGTTGGCGTGGGGGGAGGGGGGTGGGTCGAGCTTGGGGCTGGTGCTGCTGGAGATACTTGGGCTGGAACACACCGAGTCACCCAGCCCCGTGTCTGTGGCCGAACCGGAAAAGGCAAAAGAAGGCAAAGGTGAACTTGGACCACAGAGCAAGGAAAGGAGGAAAAACAAGCAACATCCTCCTGTGGAAGGCATGAAGTCTTTCCTGAGACACCTGTGTACAAGGTGGCTGGGTTGGAGGCCTGAGGCCTCGGCAATGAGCAGGTCAAGGCAGTTTTGTCCTGTGCACCTCCCAGCCCAAAGCAGGAAATACTCTGCTTTGTGTGACTGGATTCCTGGAACCTCAGGTTCACACATGGCATCAGGGAAAGCAGGGTGGTGAGCTTCTGATTCTGAATGTTTCCTTTCCTTCCCTTACTGACCCTGCTGTACCAGGATTGAGAAACTGACGCAGGCAAAGCCACAGAGACTTATCCTTGAATGGCTGTGAAACTGTACACACAGGATGAACAATCACGTCTCCCTGCAGCACGACACATGGCTATGACTCCACTTTGTAATTAGTGAGAGGTGGCACAACACGGCACGAGTCACCAAGAGCCTGCAGGAGTGTCTTCAAGTCAACACTGTGTAGCTGCAGGCCGGGAGTCCCTCATAGTCTTCAGAGAGGCTTTAAAGGCAGTGTGCAAACCCAGTAAGTTACTATAAATGAAACTCAGTTTATTTATCTTTACCAAAGAGAAGGCAAAAGTGATGCTAGAAGACTGGGAAGAGACAGATGTACAGGGATAGAACAAAAGCCTGAGCAGGGGCCAGAGGAGCATGGGTGTCGCACCTCTCCCCACCCCAAGTTTTCAGAGTCCTTTTGTCCTGAGTCACCAGTTCAAGGACAGAAAGGCCTGCACTGACTCCTATTCACTTGCCTCCTGCTTTCTGAATATGGCCACTCTCTAGAAGCTGGGGATCCACCACTGAAGAACTGGTCTAAGATCCCTGCTGACCTGCAGCACAGTATGGTGCCTACCACCTTCTGTTCATTCCCTGCATGTTGCCGCCCTCCCGCTTCTAGATTCCCAGGCTCCAGGCTCTCTAGCTCATGGGCCTGCTTCTCCTCCCTGGGTGGTTTGTACTCCACTTAGCTGATAGTCCTGAGCCTCATTTCAGCCTGTGGTTTGGCAGACTAGCTTAGGTGGTGGTGAAGGTCAGGGTTTAAATTAAAACAGCTTCTAGCTAGGCATGGTGGCACATACCTTTAATTCCAGCACTCATGAGGCAGAGGCAATAGAATCTGAGAGTTCCAGGACAGACTGGTCTACATAGTGAGACTCTAGACTCAATAAAACCCAACCCAACCCAACCCAACCAACCAACCAACCCAACCAACCCAACCAACCCAACCAACCCAACCCAACCCACCCAACTAACCCAACCCAACCAACCAACAACCATCACCACTAAAACCAACCAACAAACAAGCAACCTGTTTTCCCAAAGCCCTCATCTAGTCTTTGGGACAGGTACCAGGCTCCAAGACGGTCACCCATCCTAAAGCTTCCCTTATGCTATCTAGTGTCTGAGCACTTTTGCTCTTCTTAAATATTTCATGCACAGATTCAAAAGATACCTCCTGAAGCACACTCCCTGTGCCAGGCCCACTGACAGTGGTCCTTGCCTCTCTTGTCCCTATAGGGTTCACTCATCAGGCAGGGAGCTTGGGTGTCCCACTGTCCTGTTCCTTTAGTTTTGCACTGACACCTCTGCAATGGTGTCAGTGATTCTTTATCCTAAGTTACTATGTTAAATCTCTACTCTGAGGGTCTGAGTGTGGACAATCTGAACTGGGCAGAGGAGCCTAAAGCTAACTTTAGAGCAATGAAGGCTTCCTTTTCCATAAATGTCCTGTAATGCCTAACATAGGGGGGTGGGTGGGAGTGGGGGGTGCATTGCAATTAAACTACTGTCCAATACATGCCACCGTCTTGCTGAGACACTCAGAGCACATGCACAAACTCTCGTCTGTGCACTACCGTTTCTTGTCTCCTTTTTACTACTTGATTTCTGCTGTTCTCTGATGCAGTTCACTAAAGCACTCCTCCTCACTGCTGGCCACAGCTCTTCTCACAAGTGCCCCTGAGAGGCGTCACTTCAGTGGACAGGCCTCCAGGGGCAGCATCTGTTTCTCCTGCATCTACCATGGTTTGTCCCTCCCTCCTCAGATGGGAAGCCTCAGTGAGTTCTGCACAGAAAGCATAAAGCATAAGGAAGAAGTCTGTGAGAGGCTGGTCCCATAGCATCTGCCCCTCCTCACCCCATTGGCTTGGTTCTCCCCACATGCAGACAAGTGTCTGTCACAGGAGAATCACTGGCTGGCTATGATGTCAGTTTCATAGATGCAGGGTTTGTATTTTCTCTCTTCACCAGGACAGGAACCATGGGGGAACTCTACTTGCATTTGCCAGTGTTACTGAAGAACTGACTGCCCAAGGTGCTGGCCCAGATGAGAGGGGGCCTGTGGTCCCTGGTGGGGCAGCAGAATGCCTTGAAAACTCTCCACGGGCATGCTTTTGTGCCCACCACTGTCCTGCAAGTTTCCAACTGTCTAGAAGCTATTTTTAGGTGAACGACTACAGCCATGAATGGGATCTATTGACAGTGAGAGGGGGTCTCCCTCACACCAGCCTACACTTACTGAGCATGCTCTCTGAGCCAGCCACTGTCAAAGAATAAAGGGCAGAACCCTTGTCCCCATGGAGCCGATCTCTAAAGCCTGAAAAGAATGTCTATCTAATTTCTTGCTTGATGCCTTCAATAAAAGACTGTTTTTCTTGGGTCCTGCTCCAGGAGCACAGAATGCTGAGGGACCCCATCTGCAGCAGACATGTAAACCTTACAGATAAACAGAGGGAGGAGAGAGGACTCATCCACACACAAGGAATGTGACTCTGGGGCCAGTGAAGGGGCCCCTCAGGGGCCAGTGATTGAGACCACTCAATCACTCCACACTCAGTGATGGAGGTGCCACCATGTCATGAGGAGGGTGTGGGTAGAAAAGAACATCAGTTTTCTTACTATGGAAGACATGGAAGTGCTTCTGGGTCTGACCAGGAGTCAGGAAGCGAGCCTTATGTTTACTTTCAGATAAGGGACTAAACCAGTCACTGTTGGATGCACAGGACACAAGACCCCAAGGGAAGCCCAGAGGCTGTTCCTGCTCATATAGAGATGGAGGTCGGAGATAACTCCTATCATCTTTCCCCCTGCATCTTCCATGTGCCATTGTGTAAACAGTCCATGGCCCAGGGCCTGGACTCTACTCCCATCCAGCCTTCCTTGCCTACCAGTAGGGCAGGCGTTAATGTGGTACCTTCCATTTGGTCTGCCTCATCACCAGGCCAAGGGGGAAACCAAGGCACACAGATACCTGAGGGACCAAATGGTAAGCCAGGCACGCTGGGACAGAAAACAGACCTGCAGCTAGGCATCAGGACGGAAGAGCCTGTGTGGACTTGCACAAGGCTGACACAACCAGGCACTGAGAAGACGGTAGTGATGGTGAGGGTACGAGGGGAATCCTAAGGGGGGCATGTCATTTGGCCACGGAGACAAGAAGAGGCAGGGAAAGTGGCCTTGGCTTGAGGCCTGAATGGGCTAGACTGACAGCAGCCTGTGGACACATGGATGAGTTCCTAGTTACTGAGATTCTAGACACAGGCACCTGCAGCATAAGTATTTATGTCCTGACTCTCAGATCTTGAGAATCCCCAGGAGCTGTTTAATATCCTCCCCGCCACCCCCGCTCTAAAATACGAGCAGTCAAGAGTGTGAGGCTTCTAGACTGAGCTTCCTCACTCCCCACTGCTCCTCAAGCCTGACAAGATGTCCCTCAGCCCCACCCTCAGAGCTCACCGCTTCTCCTGACTGCCTATGAAGGATGCATTTCATTTTGTATCAATTATCAGGCAGTAAGACAAGAGACTTCCATCTATGGGGTTAAATACAGAAGAAAAGCAAGGTGAAGCAAGGCAATCAAATTAAAAAAAAAAAAATCCAGTGCCTCAGTACTTCATGTTTGAATCTGCTTTGGTGTAGGGATCCCCCAGATATGGTTGTTGAGCCAGGAAAGGCTGGCCCATCCTATGTGTTCAATGCTGGCTATTAGTTCTTCCCAATCGGGCATCAGTGTTCAACACATACCCCCCAAAATACATAACATGAGCAATAATGATCACACTCTGCGGGCTCTGGAGCTGCGGCTTGTGAAGTATGAGTCAAAGAAGCAGTTTCACTTTTCACTCGGGGAGCTGACAAGCGTGACCAGAGGGAGAATAAAATAACATTCCACTCGCATAAATATCAAGCAGCCTGCTCGAGACTGATGGGCCAGGAATGTATTCTTAGCTATCATTCCGGCAGACAGGCCCAAGGACACTCATAACTTATTTTACAATCATTTAGTTTCAGCTCAAGTGGAAAACGTGACAACTTATCTCTGCCGACAAGATGCTCTATCGAACCTCACAATTAACTCGCCTCCGATTATCTGCCCAGCCGATCATTAGCTGAGCCCATCTCGACGGACTTTTGTGGGGGCTCATCACGGAAGTGCCTCTGCCAGGTGAAGAGGGTTTCTCATAGCCAGGGGCATTTCTACAGACAGGGTGCCAGCTTCTTGCTCCCATATCCCATTGCTTGTGTGGGCAGAGGGCCAGGATGGGCCTGTTGGGAGCACTGGAACTGTCCAAGAATCACTCTTGGTACTGTTCTCACACATGAGTCCTGAGTTACACCTGCCCCAGGTCCTCCAAAGCCCTGGAAGTTGCCATTTCAGACAGGACAGGGATTGGCGGCTTCCTGAGGTACACCTCCATCCACTGTTCCTCAGGGGTGTGGTTTGAAGACAAGAGGATATGAGCTTGCTCCTAAGAACAACCATAATCCAGATGAGTGGCTGGTAAGATGGCTGACCATCACCAAAAATATACAAAATGCTTTCAACCATGTGTTCCTAAGAACCACATGTTTCCATGAACAAAAGGGAGAAAGACAGATACCAGGAGAGAAAGGAACAAGGTGGCATGTGTAGTGTAGGCGCTGA